TCACAGAGGCCCCAGCAAGCCCAGCTGGGACCAGTCAAGCATGGCCCAGCTCAACAGAAGGGCCCAAATGACCCCTAGACTCATGAGAAAGAACAACAACTGCTGTTTCAAGCTACAGCATTTTGGGGCGTGTTTGTGATGCAGCAGTCGCTGACTGGTACACCCTTCCCCCAGGGGCATGAGGATGCTCCTCAACTTCATCCTGCTTCCCAGAATTAGCTAGAACCCAACAGAGCCATGTGGCTAAATCCATTCTGGTAGGGCTTGTAATTGAGTCACTTGGTGAGATCTTCAGTTTGATTTTCTCTTTTCATATGTTTTCAATCAGAAATATCAGAAGCTGCTTTGAATGTCCCTGCAGAGTTCTCAGAAGCATCCCCTCCCGGGTTTCTCTGGAGAGCCCATCTTATTTGTTGGAGAGTGTATTCTCCTGCAGCTTTTCAAATGCTACATTTTCCTCTGACGGCAGCCAGGGCATTTGATTGCATGAGAGATGGTGATGTGGTTGCAACGGCTGTCGATATTCCTTTATGACTCTGAATTTGCATCTGTGCAAGGCTGGTAATACTTATCTGAATTCCAGGCACAAACAAATGAAACTTATTTAAAATAACTGGGAAAATTCCACACTGGAGGTAAAATAAAAAATGGATTTGCTGCTACAGATGCAGAAACCGGTCCAAGAAAGATCACTGGAAATCGACTCAATAACTGTCCAGTCCCAAGAATTCTGCAGCCAGAGTAACTGGTGCGTGCAAGACAGAAAGGTGGACCATGGAGGCCCAGACCACCCACCCTGTGGTGGTCTCAACTCTCCAAGATGCCCCGCAGCCCTGAGAACAGGAAGGTGGTGTGAGGAGAAGGGAGCACGGCTGGTCATGACAGCCTCTTTCCACACTTGGTCACTGTGGTGCCAGCATCCTTCCTGTGCAATGTAAGGGGCAGCAGTGGTGCCCACACTGCATGGGAGAGGCTCCATGGAGCCCAGGTGGCATGACCTTACACAGCACGTCCATGGCAGCCTGATCCCAAAACCTCCACCTTACAGTCCAGTGTCCTTTGCAGGAGACACCAGCAAGGCTGGGGACCCCAGCCCCTGCTGTTTTCATCCTAACTTGGACTTATCTGTTGTGATGGCCAGGCCAATCCTGTTTGGGAGAAGGGGGCTGGTGAGAGTAACCAGGGGACACCAGCATCGCCTACAAACCCAGTAGAACCATTCAGCCAGGACCCTCAGCCCCAAGTTGCCCAAGTCACTCAGCCAGGCGAGGTCCCCCCACAGAGCAGCAGGCCAGCCAGAAAGCTTTAGACCACAAGCTTCGGACCAGGTGGCACCTAGGAAGGGAGGGGGTATGTAACCAGGGAACCTTCCCCGGGAGGCCCTGGGCGCTGTACCAGAAATGCACGGGGAGGAGCTGGGAGCCCCTGGAAGGGGCTCTGGAGAACAGCAGTGAAGAGGGGTCACACGCACCCCAACACCCCCCGCGCACCCCGACACCCCCACGTGGGTTTGGCCTGCATCGTCCCACCACGGGGGGTCTGTCCTTCCAGGTCTCGGCAAGGCCCGGGCACCCTGGGGAGGGCTGTCAGTTCAATGGTGGACACCAGCGTTTGATGTGGAGATTTGGCAGTGAGAACGGATGTGTCTCAGCGCGAGGTTTATATAAAATGACAGCTTCTGGAAAATGAAACCCTCAGATTAAAAAAGAAGAAGAAAAGGAAAGAGGAGGAAGAGGCAGCAGGGAAGGTGCCCTCCACCCCCCACGCATTCCCTGGAGGGCACTGCAGGGGCCATGGGGGCCTGGGAGACAAATGCCCCATTTGGGGGTGCTTCCTGTGCTGCCCAATGTGCCTTAGCTTTGCCCCAACACCGCCTCCCCACCTCCCCATTCAGACCCCCCCTCCCAGGCCACACACTTCTTTACTGTCTCCATCTGTCCTATCCCCAGGATAAGAACCCCAGGGGACGAGGCCCTGGTAGGGGACAGACACGCGCCAAGAGAGCACACGGTAAAAGACAAGCAATTATTTGGAAACTTTCACATGACTGTCATTTTAAAAGGGAGGGGGCTAGATGGAGGCAAAGACTCCAAGAATCCTTCCTAGGAAGCCCACAAAAGCAAAGATGGATTGCACATAATTGCCCTTTGTTTAAAAGGCACATGGATATTCCTGCAGAGCTGGAAACTCATTCTTCACACAAAAAAGCTTCCAAAAATTGCAACCTATTTGTTGCCAAGTTTGGGACTGTTATTTCCTTCCCAGCCCCCTTGGGTTGCTTTTTTATTTTTTAATGACCTGAAATGTAAATTGCCTTCCCTGTGGGTCTCCTGGGGCTGGGATGATGTCTCGGGAAGTCCGCCTCCCAGGACATCCCAGCTGGGGCTCCTCCAGGAAAGGAGGCGGAAAGTTCAGGATACCGATGAAGCTCACTCTGGCCACCTGGCACCGAAAGTGGAGCAGGAGACCAGACCTCTTCCCCTGCCTTCTCCCTGGATGCCGCGTGTCCACCCCCTGGCATTCAGATGGCCCCTTTCTCACCAGAACGAAAAGGAGAAAGCAAGGACATCAGCTCAGCCCTAGGGTAAGAGTTCTCATCGCCACAAGGCCCCCGGGAGGACAATGGCAAACACAGCCAACATGGACCCCACCCCAAATCTCAAAGAAATCTTCAATGAACCCCAAGAAGGGGCCTCGAGACTGCAGCCAACTTCTCAGAATTCACCAAGCATCCAGCCTCTCGGGAGTGCAAAAGAAGCCTGCAAGCAGCTTTCCAGCCCTCGGAGGGAGGAGAAGTTCCCGTGTCTGCTGGGGCCCCGGGAGCAGGGAGCTGTCGCTGCCCCTTCCTTACAAAGCCTGCTCACTGTTCCAGAAACAAGGAGTCCAGGAGAAGAGCCAGGATGGGGGATAAAGGTTCCCACATGAGGGGAGATCCCAGAGAGGCCTCCTGAACCCGGCAGTCACGTGGCCCTGGGGGTCGGCACCCATCGCCATGTGTCCCCCGGGCACAGGTGTCACCGGGGGCCAAGGCTTCGGAAGTCACTGCTGGAATGAGCCCTGCTATCTCAGGGGCTTCCTTCATCTCGAAACTCAGAGTGTTGTCACAGCCACGCTGCCACTCTAGAATTCCTGGGGACAGGAGACACACGATGGCCAGGACCAATCCTGGCACCAAAAAGGAGAACCCCCAGCCAGGCTCTGCCCATCCGACGGACACCAGACTCTTTGGTACACATTTATTGGGCACCTACTGTGTTCCAGGCACAGCCTGAAGTGATAAAAGCCAGGCACAGCAGCGAAGGTCCCAGGAGAAGGTGGCGGCCGCCCCCAGCCCCCAGCCCATCCCCATCTTTCCTTCCTCTTGGGCCTCCTGTCCCCTCTGGATTTCAGCCCCAAACAGTAGCGTGTTCTCTGTAGGGTCACCGCCTTTGCTTGGAGCCCCTGAAAACAGAGTCTGGGGCAAGGGTTGGGGCACAGATTGCTGGTTTGAAAGCAAGTCCAGGAAGCTGGCGTGCAGTTATCCGGGAGCCTGACGAGGATGGAATAAAAGCTATGTGTGCACGTGTGTGGAGGGGGATGCACGTACAGAAGGTGTGTGGAGGGGGGTGCATGTATGGAGGGTGTGTGGAGGGGTGTGCATGTGTGGTATGTGGCACGTGTAAACATGTACATGTATGTGGTGTGTGCAGTGTGTGTATGCGGAGTGTGGAGTATTGTAGTGTGTGCACACATGCATGCACTGTGTATGGGGTGTGTGCAGGGGTGGAGTGTTGTGTGTGCACGCATGCATGCACGTGTGTGTGGGATGTGGAGTATTGTGTGTGCATGCATGCATGTATGTATTGTGGTGTGTGTGGAGTATTGTCATGTGTGCATGCATGCATGTGTGTGTGGTGTGTGTGGGATATGCAGTACTGTCATGTGTGCATGCATGCATGTGTGTGTTGTGTGTGTGGGATATGCAGTACTGTCATGTGTGCATGCATGCATGTGTGTTGTGTGTGTGGGATATGCAGTACTGTCATGTGTGCATGCATGCATGTGTGTGTGGTGTGTGTGGGATGTGCAGTACTGTCATGTGTGCATGCATGCATGTGTGTGTGTGTTTCTGCAGGGTGTGGAACACTGTCGTATGTGCACACATACGTGTTCATGTGTGTGTGGTGTGTGTGGAGTATTGCCGTGTGTGCACGCATGCGTGTGTGTGTGTGGTGTGTGTGTGGTGTGGAGTATTGTCGTGTGTGCATGCATGCATGTGTGTGTGGTGTGTGCAGTGTGTAATATGTGTGGAATGTGTAGTATGTGCACACGTGTGCATGTGTTTTGAGTGCATGTGTGTGGACATGTGTGCGTGTGTGTAGTGTGTGCATGTGTATGTGTGTTTATACAGTGTTATTGAACAGGTCACCCTGTGGGCAACTGGAGCTGGATCCATGGGGACCTTCCAGGTCACCCCGTGGACTGCCTGTCCCTGGGAAGGCTGGGTGGGGAGTGGTTCCCTTTGCACACTCCCACCTGCTCTGTGAACACACTCCCTCCTCTCCCACTGAGCTGAGCCCAGGACAAGCAGGTTCAGGACGCCGGGACTCTCCCAGGGACAGCCACTCCCAAGGTGGTCCCGGCAGGCCCAAACCAAGGCTGTTGTCTGTTTCAGACGGCACTGCAGCATGGGACCCTTGACAGGGAAATGTACAGGTGGTCCTGGCACATCCCAAATGTTCTGTACGACGGCAGCACCTTAGACTTCATCCCACAGCCATGTGCTCCCCTGCCCCTTCTCACTACTCAGAAGGAGCCTGGCACACCCACCACCCCACACCCCTGCTTCCATGGCCCCCTGCACTCCTGACCTGGCACACCCTCCACCCCATACCCCTGCTCCCGTGGCCCCCTGCACTCCTAACTTGGCATACCCACCACCCCATACCCCTGCTTCCGTGGCCCCCTGCACTCCTGACCTGGCAGGCCCCAAACCACAGACTGCTTAGTGGCAGCAACCACCAGGTGAAAAGCATGAGTGATCGGAGGTGGGGGTCAGGGAAGGCAGCCCCCACTGGGCTCTTGCCACTCTCGGGGGACAGAGGTGGGCGGCAGCTGCTCCAGGGAGGGGTGCAGGTGCAGAGAAAACCCATGAGAGAGGAACACGTGTGTCCACAGCCTACTCTCGGCAGGCAGACACCCCCAGGAGACCCCACATCCCACCAGGACGGACACCACCTGCCCTTCCCTGGCAGCTCCCAATCCTCCCTCCTTCTCCCAGCTCTTTTTTTGTAAACTAAGTCTGCTTCTGGAGGGCGCGTCATGTGTGCACGCCTGTACACGCATGCCGAGTTTTTATTCCAATCCTTAAATGAGGTCTTTGCTGAGAATTTACAATTCCCTTGTGGCCTTAATCTTGCAAAGATTGCTTTTTTAACGCTGTTAGGCCTTCATTCTAATAAGCCTCTTCCTTATTACAGAACCAGGTCACATTGCCTTGACACCGCCAGAAAATCTCTCATCGGCCACGGGAGGGTGGGCATGGAGAGAGGGGCTACCAGAGGAAGGGGCAGAGAGCTGGGAACACTGAGGGAGGACTCCTTTCTTAATTCAATGAAACTCTAAAATAATCTAATTTCTGAGAACCAGAGTGGCCTGCTCACTTTAGATAACTTTGTGATGTGGTTGTGGCTCCTACACATGTTAGTTTTCTTTTCTGTATCTTGATTTTGAAAACGACAAGAGGGGTCCGGGAGCAACAGAACCCGATGGGCACACTGGGCACCAGTTCAGGTCCCGGCCTCGGGCAGTCGGTCATCTGCGGCGGCCCAACGTCTGTTCTCCCTGCTCCCAAGGGCCAGGAGAGGAAATTGAGAGAGTATGGCACCAGAGGGCTCCAGGACAGAAACCAAAACCTGCTGGCACTTGCTGGGTGGGGAGGCACTTGTACCAAAGGGTTGGGGCACCTGGGGAATCCATCAGTCAAACTCTCTGTCCTCCCTCTTCCTGAGATAGCTGTTTTTAGGTTCAAGGGGATACAGAGGAAGCACGCAATTGAGGAAGATGAACCTGCCTCTGTCTGACTCATCGGGACAGAGCAACAGTCCCTCCTGCATTCTCGCAACATTGATTAAGCACTTACTATGTGCCAGAGAGGGTAGAGGTGGTCTCCTGACCCCCCTTCTCCACCGGAAGTAGAAGGGTCTCAGAACTAAGGGCTGAGATGGCGCTGGAATGTTCTTTAAGACCCTTGGAAGCTTTTAAGACTGAGGGGTTAGTCCAGAAACAAGGTCTTTCTTCTAGAAGATTCTGCATATGGAGCTGTAGAAATGGCACTCTGCAGGGCAGCAGGGACAAACAAGAAGTGGAAGACATAGCCCTGACCCTCTGGAGGCACCTGGAGGCACCCAGGCCACAGCAAGGAAAGAGACGGAAATAGCTTGCTGTCCCCAGATGCTCCTATTCACACCACCAGCCAACCCCCTCCAGGCCCTGCCTCCCACATGCTGACTTCAGAAGCTGTCCACTCCAGGGCCACCTGGGCCTAAAGCCGGCTGTGCAGCCCGGGCCCTGCGCAGGGAGGACTTGAGTCACACAAATCCAGCACCTCGAGGTTCTTGTTCCTGTCCCTGGGACCGCAGGACCCAACAGCACTCTTCCTTGAGGGCAGTGTGAGTAGGGCCAATTTTTTAAATATAGAGATGTAAATCAATGTGACGTCTAACATAAGGCACCTTACAAATCAGAGCCCATCTTTTCAAACTTGGATGTCAAAGAGCACCACGCCCACACTAAGGTTCTGGCGTCCAGGGTCCAGGGGTGTAGGCAGCTGTGAGGCCTTCCAGGGACACCTCTGAACATGCAAGGAAGCACCCACCCAGCGCTTCCCCACCCTCGGCACACCCCAGAAGCCACCCTCAGAAGCCTCCACTGGCAATTTCTGAGTTTTCACATGTGGTTCCTCTTATCCTTCATCCCCTGTGGGTGTGACACAGAGGGCCAGAAGGTTTGCATTTACTGGGTCCTCAAAGAGGAGACCAGACAGGACCATGTTTGGCACAAGTGCTGACCAAGATCGGAGTCCTCAGGACACACCCCCAGGAGACGCTGACCCCACTCCCTGGGATGACGCTCCCCATCTCACCCTTGCAGTAACAAGATGAATGACCCCCACCCCCGCCTGGAGAGCCATCGGCATTGAGAGAAAGGAGCCACTTTCCAGGTGTGCCGAGGCTGACCGTAATGGGGCCACCAAGGTGCAAGGTCAAGCTCACCAGAAAGAAACCGGCGCGCAGACACGCAGCTCCCTGGAGCAGCAGACTTGGGTCCCCAGACCAGGAGCCCGATCCCGCCACAGAGCCCCACAGCGCCCCAGCGAAGAACATGCTCAGTCAGCAACCGCTCGCTGGGCACCTGCTTTGTGCCAGGCACTGGGCTAAGCACTGAGAATACCAGATGAAGACAAGACAGTGCACCAGGTCCACATGCTTTAGGATTAAATCACACTGACGGCTCTGCCATCTTTCCTTTCCACTAAAATGGACTGTGGATCTCTTTCCACATCCATGAAAAGCAGCTGCCTAAAACCCACCGTGTGTATGAATAGGCCATTCTCTCTTTAACGCTTTTAACCAATCCCCGGCTGCAGGGAGTGTGTTAGCAGCGGGGAGACCTGTGGGAAGTGGCATGCCAGCCGCGCAGAGGGGAGGACGGACCTGGCGCCTCCCTCTAAGCCGGCCGCCAAGTCACGAGGGGCTCCTATGCTTTCCAAAAACCCTCCTAGAGGAAGAGCAAGGTGGCAGCCCTTGGCCCGTGGGCAGCAAATTCTTGGATTCTGCAAAACATAATTGTGAAGCCCAATCTGCCAGCGGAGAAATATGCAGCGCATTCACAGGCTAAATATAAATAATATTGATTCATCTGCCATCTTGAATTATCCATTCCACTTCTGTTTTCCATTAGCATCAATAATCACGAGTGTACTCCCCTGTGGACGGGGTACATTACGCTCCGAAGGATGCAGCTGGCCCCAGGGTCACACATCTGGAGGAGTCTCAGGATATCTTCCAGAATTATCTGGCATCTTCTAGAGCAATCCAGAACCTCCCTGGTACTTTTCCCTCCCTCTCATCTACTCCTCACTCCAAGCCCAGGAAAGAGGGGTGGCTCAAAGAGACATCTGAGACCCCCCTTTCGGAGGCAGTCTGCTCTATTTGGCAGCTGACTCTGGTTCTGGGAAACAATCGCACAAGCTCCAAGGTTCACTTCCAGGGAAGGAGGGGAGGAAGCTCCTGGGGCTGATGCACAGCCCCACTGAACCCGCAGGGCAGAACCAGGGCCCATTTCCTCTCTGGGCCAGAAACCACAATGACTGTCCTGCAGATCACCGGGGTCCTTGTCCCTCTGACAGCCCTCTGCCCCGAGGCCCTGGGGCTCTCTGATTACCAGGGAGAGAGTGTGCCTAGCACCAGCCAGGGGTGGACCAGGGCCTCTGGCACACCCTCCTACCCCTTCTCAGTGGAGCCTCTAGAGGCAGAAACAACCAAGGCACGGAAACCCACCAGGGCCACCCACCGTGGGCCCAGCCTGGCCACAGAGCTAATGAGCCACAAAGACCCCTGCCCCCCAGCCAGCTGTCAGAATTCAACAAATGTTGACGGAGAACGGACCATGAGCGGAGAGCCATGCTGGGTGCTCTGGGGAGATGTGGATCAGCTGCAGCCCCTGCCCGCAAAGCACTTACAGCCCAACACGGGAGACGGAGCTGCAGACGCCCACCAGGATCTGTGATTTTTTGCTCTTCCTTCTCAGTGCTGATTACAGCTCCCAGAAAGTGCTATGGAAAGCAGGTGCTGACTTCAGGCCCAGAGGAAGGCTTTGTGGATGCTTCTCATGTCCTCTGTGTGCCTGTCTACGTCAGTACGTCCCACTTGCTCACCGCTTTAGATACACCCAGTGATAACCCATGGCTTCGCTATGTCCCGTGTTGATAGAAGGATCCAAAACCTTCCCATCGGCCTTCACCATCTACTTAATGAGCCAAGCCACTCCTAGGACTCTGCAAGAGAAATGCTGGGGTCACCCCTGGCCTCGGCCTCCCTCCTGCTGGCCACACATAAGAAAGGACTTCATGAGGGAGACACCCCTGGCTGCCGCACACATTCACCCCAAATGCTTCCTGGAGAAAGCACCTGTCCTCACACTGCGAGCTCATGAGTTTGCCAAAAAGGCAATGCAGGAGCCTGAGATCACCTCCTGTCTTGCTGCTAAAATATCCCGGCCATGGAAAAGCAAGACTGGCCTCAAATTGGGGAATCTGGTCTTGCCAGCCCAGCTGTGCTCCAGGGACTCCGGTTTGCATTGGGAATGAGAGAGGGCTGGCCGGGTAAGATGGCAAGACAGACACAGTCCTCCTGCAGACTTGTAGAAGGGCTTTCTGCCCGCCCCCACCCGGGGCAGAAAGAGGAGGCACGAGGGAAAACAAGAGCCCTGGCCAAGAATGAGCCCTCTGCCGTCATCCTGTGTGTGGCCCTGTGGCCCAGCACCAGCGCTGGGGAGTAGTTCTCCCCGCCTGACAGGAGGAAGGGATGGCCTAGTGAGGCGGGAAACAGAGGGAAAGGTTGAGACCACTTGGGACAAGAAGGGTCTGGGAAGGCCCTCCTCACCGGTCACTACAGCCTGACACTTAGAAGGTACCACCTGATTTCAGCCTCTGCATCCACAGTCACCTACTAAGTGCCCCCTGTAGGCAGGGGTTGGCTCCTGCCTTCCCAGGAGAGAGGGAGGACAGCTTCTCCCTGTGGCCAGCAGGGAGCAGACACCCCCAAAAGCCACTGGGGCTGCAGGGCCCCCAAAGTGGAAATGACCTGCCAGTCTGTCCATCCCATGGGGGAGAAACACTCGGACCCCAGGCAGGGGGCATTTAGGGCAAACCGCTGGCCCACAGCATGGACTCTCCTCTTTGCAGCTAATTTTTGGGCTGCATGGGCCACATCTGGGCCCTGGGACTCCCCATGGAGCCATGGCAGGTAGGAGGATGGAACCCCACAGTCTGAAGAGCAGAGAGGAGCCTTGTCAGAAGGAGTCTTGGCTTCTTTATTCCTCCTTGACCCACCCTCTTTCCCATCCCTCACTAGCAATTCTCCCCAAAATCCCCCTGCAGATATCTGCACCTCAGTAGCATTGCCTGGGCACAAGCCACAGGAGCAGGAAGCACTGCCTGCTGGAGGCCGGCCAACAGGTACAGGGGCCTCAGCTGCCACTGCCTTTACACACGTGGCCAGTACAAAAGAGCACTCCAGGAGGAAGTTGGTGGCAATGCAGAGACGACCGTGCACACGCATACACGCACATACACACACACGTGCACGCGCACACGCTCTTGTGCACACATATGCGCGCACACGTGTACACACACGCACATGCGCATACACTCACACACATGCACACGCGCACACACCCTCCTCGTTGTTAAGGACCTTAACTTAGAATGATGTATTCTCTGTTCTCCTGGCTATAATTATTTTAGCGTGGGAGACATATTCCGTCTCCAGCATCTCAGAAGTGCAATGTTGGAAAATCACATCCCATGGTCCTGGAAGATCCCTACCTTCTCCAGCTCTTTTCCTCCACACAGGAGCACAAACAGGCCCTTCCAAGGGGTGAACCCTGGAGGTTTTAATTCCTCCTCCAAGCAGCTCCACGTAGAGCAACAGAGACGCAAGGACCGTGCAAGTAACCATGGCAACTCAAGGAAGTTTAAAAAAATAAGTTTTTGAGTTGTTGAGTTGTTATTTGGTGCTTAGGTGGGTTGGACTCTTGCCTTCCTTTTGGAGATAAGGCCTCTGAATGGTGCTTTTAATGAGCTTTGTGGGCACCATATGGAAGGCAGCCTGTGCCCCCAGAATCTCACGACCTTTGAAGGGGGAAGCAAGTGTCTCATCTCAGTCCCAGAGTCCCGGGCAGGTCTGTCCTCAGATCAGGTTGCTCCCCGTGGGGTGACCTTGAGCCAGGGTGGCCCCTCCTCAACCTTCCACCCACCCACAGAAGTGCTGCATGCCTCCCCCTCCCCAAGAGCCCCGACATTTAGAGGAACTCTTACAGTACCCAGTTACTCTGCAATCCAGACCCCCCAGGACCCCAAATATTCATCCCAAGACACCCACAGGGGCACGTTTCCATGCATACGTCTCCTAAGTGGAGGAAGAGGGTCAGGCTACCCCTGCGAGCATACGGATATGCTGGCCAGCGTGCGTGTGTGCAGGAGACCAGTGCAACTCCATCCCCACATGACATGACCCCACAGCCCACACTCGGAAATTCCCAGGGCCCCGTGAAGGGTCCAGCTGGCCTTGATGGAGGCGAATGGGAGCCGCTGTCCTGGGGTCAGCCCTTCTCTGTGCAGGCCACAGCAGCAGGTGTACTGTGCCAAAGGTCATCCTCGCGTGTGCCGATGGGGTGTGTGTGTGTGCTCACACAGGCACAAAAGCACGCATGCTGCTATTCACACCGTGACTGTGAAGCCGCCACAGCAGGCCACATCCTGTGGCTCCCAAGGGCAGGCTGCCTTGACCACCTGCTGCACACCTCCGACAGAACCATGGCAGAGCCCCAGCCCCCCAGCAAGAGTTTGTTTCAGGTCGGTGCCAGGAGAGCTGAGAAGCGCTTGGGGCCAGCACACGGCTTGGGCCACAGCTGCAGAGGCAAAGGGCTGGGCTACCTGGCTGGGGAAAAAGGAATATTTTCTTAAAGGGAGAAAAATCCTAAATGGCCCTCGCAGTCTCTTGGCGCACATAATTGTAGTATCCAAGTTAATGAAAGGCCTGGCACATGGGCTGAGTCACAGCAAACGCCCAGCCCTGCACCTCACGTGCAGCAGCTCGTAGAAATCAGACGATGGCGGGCAGGGGGCGGGGGGGCCCACGAAATAAAGAGCATTTCCAGGAATGGCAAGTCTCCCACGCGGGATCATATCATCAATTAGCCAGTGGGAGGGCCGAGGAGTGCTGGCATCTCATTTCCACAAAGACAAAGTTTCCTTGAGGAAATTGCCAGAGTCTTCAAGGTACTGAAATAACACACAGAACAAATGAAGAAGGACGGCCGCAGGGCTTGGCGGATGCTCAGAAGCCCAGCTCCCGGCAGCCTTGCAGAGGGATGTGTGTGTTTAAAGACACAAGTGGAGCCTGCGATGTCCAAGAAGCAAGCACTAGTACCCACACACGACACACACATGTGCTCACACATGTACGGCACACATATGCTCATGCATGCACACAGGTACATGTGGGTACACATACAAATGCAGAAACACACTTGTGCATGTGCACATACATACACACACATGGACACATACAGGATGCACATGCATGCCTGTGTGCACACTCTACACACAGGCACATGCATGTACAATCTACACATGTGCACACGTGTGCACTAATATGCACACACCTGTGCACACATACATGCGCACAAGCATACACAAGCACATGCGTGCACACGCTCTGCTTGCAGGTGGGGGTCCACTATCCTGACTCCCAAACATTCAGGTTTGAGACTCTTGCAGATGCCAGGTACCCTGGAGACAAAATGCCCTCTAAACACATTATCCAGAATTTTCCCTTAATTCCCTACAGCACACGCCCCATTTGTGAGGAGACCCCCAGGGTCTTCAGGCTCTGACTCTGATGGAGCTCAGAGTATGCCAAACCTTTGAACAGCCCATTCCGGAACCTTCAAATCCACACCCCAGGGGAAGCAGTCTAGCTCAGCCGTCTAAGTGGAGGTGACTGATTTATTCTGACCATCCTGACTCTTCACGACACTGCTCTCCTCCAACCGTGCGCAGCTTTAATTGTCCATCAAGCCGGGCAGGGAGGACCGTAAATCTTTCCTCCTGCTGCTCCAAGCTCAGCCTGCTTGACCTCCAATTGCCAGCCCCTCGCCTACGTGCAGCCTGGAGAAGTCCGCTAGCTCTGAAGGTGAAAGAGGGGAGTGAGGAAGGGGAATGAAGGAGAGGCAGAGGCTCAGGGGTCAGGAGGGGCACAGAGAGAGCCAGGCAGCAGAAGAAAGCATGCGGCCGCCACAGCCGTGCTCCGGCTGCTCCCCCACCCCGGGGCCACTGCGGAGGAATGAATGCCTCAGCCTGACTGCAGCCTCCAGGGGCCACGTCTAGGGCATCTACACACCTCGCCTCCCAGGCTCCCGCTCTCAAGCAGCAGGACCCTGATAAAGTGAGCCAGGCCCTTAGGGAGTCTTGGCATTCCCTTGCCAGGCTATAAAACATCACAGCCCCAGAAGGAGCCCGCTGCGGGGGATACTGCTTCTCCATCCCGCCTTCACAGTGTCTGCAACTGGGCCCCAGCTAGGGCCACAGGATCCTCTCTTAGGGCGCGTGTCTCTGTGAGGGCAGGGACGGGCCAGGGGCCACAGAGCCCCAGCTATGGCCCGGAGAACCGAGCTGGTCCAGGAGGTTTAGCCACAAGCTCCAAGGCACGCCCCCTTCCCCTGCAGCAGACTTAATATTTTCTGTAATTTTAGTGTATATTAATGCACTTCAAAGTGATGAACATTATAGTTACGATTATTACCTAAAGACTTCCTTTATAGCCCTCATTTTCTAGTGCTCATTACTTTCTGAAAAATTATCCTTGGGGGCTGAAATTTTCCTAGTCTGGTCTCGTGAGTTTTCTTCTTAGGTTTTGAGCAAAACATACCCAGAAGGGGGAGAAATTACTTTTCCCAAAGTCAGTCTCCTGGGTGACTTGTACCAAGGAAAGAACCCCGTGGGAAATGGGGCGAGCTGTGTCTTAGCATGTAGATACTGATACTGTTATCAGTGACCTGTCTTAGTTGTGCCCGTCTGTTCGGGAGAGATGGCTCTATTTTAAAAGTCTAAGAGGCGGGGAGGTACCCATGCAACACTCATCTTGCATGCTGCAGCCTGGGCAAGTCAGAAAAGTGAATGCTGGTTATGGCAACGCTGCCAACGCACACACACAGGCAGATGTATTTTCAAACACAAAGGGCAGATCTGCAGAAAGCCCCCCGTCCGTGGCCCAAGGATGCTGTTAGAGTTAAAAGCAGGCAGATTCTAGGTGTATCGTTCTCAACTATCCTAGGATGAGATCTGCCGGTGAGAAAGAAAAATGTACCCGCTGGAAGATGGCCTTTAATCATCCCGTAAAGTTGTCCCAGACACCATCACAAGGCTTTAACAGTGAGGAAAAGGGTAACAGGCTCCCCCATCAAACACAGGCCATCGTCCACCTGCTCTCCCTCCCACCCTTTGGCCATCAGCTAAAGGTTCCCAGCTGTCAAGATATCAAACAGACTTCTGGACGATAAAGCTGAACACAGCATTGGCTCTCTGGGAGTGTTGATTATAATGTTACGCCACTGACAACAGTAATTCTCACCTTAAATTTCTTCTCTTTTCTGCCAAGATTCCAAAATACTTGAATAATGTACCCTTGGATAGCACCCCTGAGAGGAACACAATCAACCACTGTTGGTCTCCTCCCCAGCAGCTGGGGGCACGCAGCCAGGGACACCGGTGAACCACATGCCCCGTCCCAGGTCTACAAGGAGCCTGCGGAAGAAGCCCCTCAGGTCTCTGGTTCCACTTCACCCGTCCCTGCCGTGGGGCCCCCAGCTGTGCCTAATGGCCTCACATCAATGATAGGCAATATTCCAGAAAGAATAAAAGCACACACTTTGTTTTTTTTCTAATGGGCTTTGCAAAGCTGTGCTTCGGTTTTTCATGCATTGAGACCTGAGATCCAAACACATATCCACACGGAAGGCAGGGGTGGGCTGGAATCCCTCAGCCTGCACGGTAAGCGATGTGGCTGCAAACTGTAGGCTCAAAGGAGCCCGGGAAGGGCTGGGGGAGGGAGGCCATGATCCTCCTTCCTTTCCTCTCCCTCATGGGAAATTCAACTGGCATGGTTTGGAGCCTCGTCCCTGATGATCCAATGCCACTCCCTTTGCAAAAGCAAGAGGACCTGCTGCAGTGCCCTCTCTCCTTGTGGTATTCTTTTTTTTTTCTTTTCTTTTCTTTTTTTTTTTTTTTTTTTTTTTTTTTTTTTTTCCTGTTGCCCAGACTGGAGTGCAGTGGTGTGATCTTGGCTCACTGCAACCTCCACCTCCCAGATTCAAGTGATTCTCCTGCCTCAGCCTCCTGAGTAGCTGGGATTATAGGTGTGCACCATCATACCCAACTAATTTTTTGTACTCTTAGTATAGACGGGGTTTCACCATGTTGACCAGACTGGTCTTGAGCTCCTGACCTCAGGTGATTCCCTGCCTTGGCCTCCCAAAATGCTGGGATTACAAGTGTGAGCCACCCTGCCCTGGCCTCCCTGTGGTACTCTTGACACCCCGCTGGCAGTGGAGGCATGGGGAGAGCACAGTGGGCCCATTGCGGGGGCACAGCACAGGCAGGAGCCCTGTTGCCCCCTGGATGGCCTGACCAGGGTAACCACCTAGTCCACGGCCCCACAGACAGGACCTCACTTCCTTCTGCCTGGCTTCAGGGTGTTCCTAAGGACATGAGCTGCTGGGGGCTGCTCCAGGGAGCCCTTCCAGGCCCGAGGGAGTGGGGGGTCTCCTCAGACCCCTCCCTCTCTTTAGAGACATGCTAAGGGTTGTTTCCATCCTAGCATCTGCAAGTTTATCAGGAGCTCTTTTAAAGCAGCATCATAATTGTGCCCACAGGGAACAGTTCGGAATCCATTCCTTAACCCTGACCCTTCCTAACCCTAGCAACGTGCTCTTCCCTCTACCAGGTGGATAGCCCCAGGGAAGGGTCCCATTTACCACGTCAGCAGCTTTACATAGATCCCCTGATCCACGCAGCAGTCCCTGCTTCTCAGCTGGCTAAACTGAGGTTCCAGAGCCTGCCCTGGGTGACAAGGCTGGGAAGGGTGCACGCCCTCCCCAGCAGTCTGCTGCAGGCAACCCTGCCACCATCAGAAGTCAGCTCTGGCCTCAGGCTGTCCCTGCCCAGAGCCCTCACACCAGCCAGCAGGTGCAGGCCGAATCCACTCACCACACCCACAGGTTGTGCGGCCAGCCCTGACGGGCTTTAAGGTCTCATGAAAGGTAACTGACATACTGCCTTGCTCAGAAGTCGCTTCCATTTCAATGTGCATGTAACTGTGTGTGCCCTGGGGGCAAAGGGTGAGTCTTATAAGAATGAGCTGATGGGATTGGGGAGTTGCCAAGATGTACAACCTCAGAACCTCCCATGAATACGAAAACTAACCGGGTGAAGACTCAGCCACACCTCCAGGGTGAAGGGCAGGTGTCAAGAGCAGGTCAGTAGGCTTTGCAGAGCCCATCGGGAGCCTATGCACGGACCCAGTTTAAAGCATATCCTGGGTTTCCTTTTTTTACGCGGATCTCAAGGTGACAGGTAATGTCGGGACATACTGGTGTGTGTGGCTCTCCCATGTGATGCACTAGAAAGTCATCCTCATACCTCGTTGCTGAAAACAAAAAACTAAAAACCCCTTCTTGCCATTGCTTTTTCAAAAGTGGGGTGGGGTGGGCTGGGGTGGGGAAGAAGAGGTCACCATCATCAGGTGCTTGATTCCAAGGTGCCCAGAAGCTCTTAGGAACAGACCCTGGAGCTTCAGCCAGCCCCCTGCCCTCAAAAGTTCCAGAAAAAAATAGGAGTTGTTTTTGATGTAATCCAGGAGAGAAATCTCTAATTTGCATTGAGTAAGAGTTTGGAGTTATGAAAGTTTAGTGAGAAATGATTTCTAAAGGCACCAGGGTGTTTGTACTGCTTTAAATCTTTCTCCAAATTGTGGACCTTCCTAATACAAGGAAACTCTATGTCCTTTGGTTCCAAAGGAGGTTCCCATTTTTCCATTAAAAATCTCATTGCTGAGGACAGCCTGATCCTCCATGTTCTCATGACCATTGCCTAAAAGCAAATGATTCGGAGACATGAGCCTGACCCAGGAATGGGCATTTGCTTGGTGTCCAAGGATGCGAACTGCAGGATGAGAGCAAGGGCAGGAGAAGCACCTGGACTCTGGGGGCCACCGTTCCTGCCATCTTCATCCCTGGGTCTCATCTGGTGTCACAGACGAGGAGACGTGGGTGAGAAGGACTGCAGTCCGTGGTGTTCGGGCTGCTCATGGGCAGAACTCTGAAAGTGCCCTTGGTTTACCTGGTACGCTGCCTCCACTACAGTATTGGTGGCCCTGCAGAAGAGAATCTGATCTGGAGGTCCGGGTTACTTTTGTTTGTTTGTTTTGATGGAGGGAGAATTTTTGAAGCAAGACAAGAGGCCTTGGAGATATAAAGGCACACAGGATCCTCCTCTCTAGTACAAAAGATACATGTTATGATCTCAACCGGGCCCCCAAACAAGGACTTGAAACTGTTCAGGGGCTGGCTGGTGGCAGCTTTCGATGCTCGGGCAGTTTCCTCGCCCGCAAATGGGATTATTTTCTAAAAGGGCTAAAACAGACATACCCGGCCACCTTCCTCGCCAGCTGGCTTCCACTCACAGCCCAGCGCTCAAGGAAGGGTGGGCTCACCTTCCCAAGTATGGAGCAGCCAGCCAAGCAGAGACCTGTGCATACGGAGCTGATGGCCAGTGGTGGGTCCAGGAGGGAGATGGCCAGGTACAGTGCAGTTGCTCCGCCTAGGCCTCTGTTCTTCTGGAATCTTGGGAGAAAGCTCTCAGCACAGCCGCTAACCAAAGCAACAAGCAAGTAAACTCCTTCTAAAAATATATATATTCTCCCTCTTTCTTTTTTCTGCTGGGAATATGTTCTGAGCACAAATAATTAAACCTTAAAAGAAAACTTGCAATACCAAGTGCTTGGCTCTTGGTCCTAAGAGGAAACCACGGAGGCTGAGGACCCCCAACTCAAGCTGACACCAGCAAGTTACAACCCACTTCTCAGGTGGAACCCGCAGGACCTGGCCCCGACCTACATGGAAGGAGTGGAGATGGATCCAAGGGAAGACTGATTTTCACTTCTAAAAAGCCTCCCCAAGCTGTAGCTTACTCTACCCACAAGGGGAACACTCCCCATAGAGGAGACCACCCCATTCCTTGTTCTTCTGCCCCCTTTCCCCTGACTGCAGAGCCTTCAGTACCATTGTCTTGTCAATGTTTCGAGTGCAGAGAGTTGGCAGGGGCAGCAGCAGTGAGGAGAGAGAGGAGGGGCAAGGAGACCATCTCTAGCTGCTGGTCTGTCTAGAGACCAGGAAGAAGCCAGAAGGACGCCTGGCCAGAACAGTCAAGGCCCCCATGTGTCTTACAGGTAAGGGCCAGGATCAGAGGCCTGATGACACCAAGCTCCCTGCACCCGAGAGTTGGCCTCTGCTTTGGGAGAAAACATGCTTGTCCACTTAGCACTTGTAATTTCCGTACGAGTCCTATCACACAGTGGAGCACATCCCTAAGCCCCTAAATTAAAGATGATGGATGGTCCTTTCCCAGGCCAAGAGGGTGACTCACGTGGCACCCAAGCAAGATGCATCCAGAACGGCTCCTTCCACCTAGAACCTGACCACACTTTTCAAAATGCAACTGATAGACTGTGAGCTTGCCCCAAGCTACAAATAAAGTAACAGACTTTATACTCTTTATTATTCTAGTCTCCCTCTAAGGCGTGTTTTGGTGTCAGTTTATGTGTTGGAGAAACTGTGATAGCAAACTAATTTACTAAGTGCATTGCACTTAAAAATGTCTATATTTTATACACCAAATCAGTCTGTGTCACGTGGTATTTCTTGAAGGGAGGTGACTCGTCTGTCTATGAGTCCTCAACCCAGAGCAGGCCCCGCTGTGTATGCACAGCGTATGTATGTATGCAATGCTCCTTGCATGCTCACCATGCAACCATTAACCAAGAGCCATCCTCAACCCTCACAAGTTATGCAAGGAGGAAATCACACAGTAAGCATCTGCACCACTCAGAAAGCACAGAAGAAAAAAAGAGTGAGGGGAGAGGAAGAGACAGACGGACAGGAAGAGAGGGAGATAGACCCAGGATGTTATAGAGGACAGGGATGGCTCAGACAGCAGCCTACTTCAGGGAGCCAGCAGAAAGTAAGATGTTGAGGCTGTCTGAATGTTTCATGAGCCTGTGAAAATGCCGTGCTGCTTTATGAAAGAGCGTGGAGAGATGCTGCAGCTTATCCAAGGGTGGAGGTGCAAACGGGATGTGTTTACGAAGCCAGTGCCTTGTGCCAGGAGCAGGGGCCAGTGGCAGGCAGGGATTTAGGGGATGGTAGGTTCCCGAGGAACGGGTCTCTGTTGAAGGGGGAGAAAGTTTCAAGATGGCTTTTCCCCCTTCACTTGTTTAAAAATAAAAAATTCCTTACCAAATGTCAGCCGCGTGTCAGGTTCCATTTGTCTTTATAACAGAGTATCAGGCAGGAGTGTGGAGATAAATAAACACAGGGAGACAACCGACCAAACCTTGCAGGCTCTGGGCTGGGCTGGGCTAGAGGAGGGAAGCCCCACCCTGCAAGGGCTGAAAAATAATGTTGCAGTTTCGCATTCAGCACTGTGGCTCTGGCCCACTGACATGTTTTCCTCTCTTTACTGCGTCCCCCCCACCACCACCACTCTGGCACTTCTGAGTAGGAGAGGAGCATGACTTACGCATTCCTTCCTTCCTAATCGCACAGGTGCCACGGGTCAGACCACCATCTGCATATACGGGGGAGGGGGCAGATAAACCAAGCAGGGCCCCCACCCTCAGCAGCAAGGCACCTCCAATTGCCACACATTAGTGTGAAGGCGCCTTAGGCCAGGGCTGACTGTGGCTGGGAGAGAGGTGTCAAAGAAGGCTGCAGGGGAGAGGCAGCAGGGCTGAACCAGCCAGGGAAGATGGCATTTTCTCTGGCCACTACCGTGCTTAGTTCATCCCCAGACACCAAAGAGCCTGATAATCTTTCCATTTCAGCGATGCGCCATCAGCCACGCTCCAAGTTGAGTAAGTGACAGGCACAGGACAGAAGGCCCACTCTGGAATGGTACCCAGGAGGCCTCCTTGCTGTAATTACCTCTTCGCAGGCCCTGGGCTTTTCTGGCTCTTG